TCCAAATAACTTGATATGAAAAGAAATAGTTGTTACCTGGTTTAGAAATCTAAGCTCTGTTTGTTCACTAATAACTAGAATTGATAAAGCAACCAGCTCTCCTAGGAAATGGGCTGCCAGAGAAATTCTATAGTTCTTTCAACTCTTTGAAGTCACCACACTCATACTTCTATTTTCTTACCCTTTTTCTTCCTTTCTCTTCTATCTCCTTTCCACAAGCTTATCAGAAATCCACTTCTGAAGAGATATAACTTAATGCAGATATGTCAAACTTTTGACTTCTCTGATTATGAATGCTTAAGACAGGAGTCTGTTGAACTTGAATTAATCAGTTAACAATCTTTGGATTGCAACTGATGGAAAACCCAGTTCAAACTGGCTAAGGCCAAAAAAGGGGAATTTATGGTGCCTATAACTGAAAAAAATGTTAAATTGGTTTCAGTCACAGCTTGTTACAAGGAACTTGAAAGGATGTCATCAGGACCCAGTATATATATATATATGTATACTTATTGTAATATATATGGTACATATATTCTGAAAGATCTGATGCACTGAAACCGATATGATAATTATATCTGTGGGTGTATGTGTGTATGCTCCATTTTTCATACAGCCTCTCTCTTTATTGTCACAAAATGACTACACCTGTTCTCTACCTTATGATCTCTTAAGGTCAGGTCTAGTGGAAAGAAACAGGTATCTCTTTATCAGAAGACCCAGACAAGATTCTTTTTGCATTTTTTTATCTCTGTTTGGTAATCTGCCCATCTATGGACAGGACATGGAATGTCCTGACTATGGTTAGGACAGTGGAATGCTTTGATTAGTTAAGCTCTAAGTCACATACTATTGATAGCTTCTGGAATTGAGTTGAATCAACTTCACCAGAACCATATGGGCTTAGACTTCGGAAAGTTTGTTTCTTCCCAGAGAGATATTAGAAAATTATTAGCTAAAGAGGAATTGAAGGGTTACTGGAGGGCAAAAGTAAAATTTCTACCACATGGAAGTGAAGATATTACCCCCTTTTCTATAACTCATAGAGCCACCACACCTTTGTTTCTAATATTTCTGATTTCCTTTTTTGCTTTTTAAAATGACTATTGAGTCTTTTAATAGTTTTCTTATCATAGAAAACATATCTTGGACAAAGACATGATCGTATGACATGGAAAAAAAATATGTCTGTCCAGTTGTTGATTACTGTTTTATAAGTCATGGGTAAATATACACATAGAAACTATAATTCACATGTTACTAATTTCATTGAATTGCAGATCTGGAAAGGACTCTGATGTTATCTAGACCAATACCTGAATCTTCACAATGTTTTGAATAAGTGGTAGTGTACTTGAGAGGTTTGCAAACTACAGCTCATGGGCCAAATCTGACCTGCCGCCAATTTCTATAAATACAGTTTTATTGAAAGCCAGCCATGCCTGTTTGTTTATATATTTTCTGTGGCAATTTTACACTACAACAGCCAGAGTTGAGTTGTTACGACAAAGACCTTATGGCCCACAAAGTCTGACATATTTACTATCTGAACCTTTACAGAAAAACTTGCTAATCTCTAGCCTAGTCATTGCTTAAGTTTCCTTTAGTGACAAAAATTCTTTCTGAGAGAGAACCATTTTCAAAAAGCTCAAAATAATAATTATTATTTTAAAAAACCCAAAGAACAGAAAGAGTAGTACTTCCATGTGTCATCCATTTTACTTATGTCTAAAGTCGTTATCTCACTTAGGAAACTATTCTAGTTAAAACACAAAATTCTGGATTAATACGTAAATTGCACCAAAATTAGACTAGCTTTTTTCTTGCCCCAAAGATATTTCTTGCTTAACAGTTAAGTTTTAAAATATCCACAATCTTTTCTTCCCCAGCAGCTCCATAATTATATAATGATTTTCTGTGAATACACTTAGCTTTTTAATGACAAAATAAACTTTAAAATGTCAAAGATACCCTTCAAAAGTGCATGATTCCATATATATGTGTTAGCATACGGTATTTGTTTTTCTCTTTCTGACTGACTTCACTTGTATGACAGACTCTAGGTCCATCCACCTCACTACAAATATCTCAATTTCGTTTCTTTGTATGGCTGAGTAATATTCCATTGTATATATGTGCCACATCTTCTTTATCCATTCATCCAATGATGGACACTTAGGTTGTTTCCAACTCCTGGCTATTGTAAATAGAGCTGCAATGAACATTTTGGTACATGACTCTTCTTGAATTATGTTTTTTTTCAGGGTAGACAGGAATAAAGACACAGACCTACTAGAGAATGGACTTGAGGATATGGAGAGGGGGAAGGGTAAGCTGTGACAAAGTGAGAGAGTGGCATGGACATATATACACTACCAAATGTAAAATAGATAGCTAGTGGGAAGCAGCTGCAAAGCACAGGAGATCAGCTAGGTGGTTTGTGATCACCTAGAGGGGTGGGATAGGGAGGGTGGGAGGGAGGGAGACACAAGAGGGAAGAGATATGGGAACATATGTATATGTATAACTGATTCACTTTGTTATAAAGCAGAAACTAACATACCATTGTAAAGCAATTATACTCCAATAAAGATGTTAAAAAAAAAGGTACATGATTCAATCAATTGTATTTGTGAAAAAAGAAAAAGCTTTTCTTATAACCAATTAATTAAAGATATGACTGTCATCCCTTGATAGTTTCACTAAAAAGCGTACTATAATGATGAGTTATAATTTACTCATGGTAATTTTAGCTATTTGAATTGTAAATAATACTTAATTTAAGTTTTTTTTTGTTTTAAGTTTATGTAATACTCTAACATGTTACTACTGCTATAAATCTTCTCTATACTTCATCCTTTTAGAATGTATAAGGTATCTACATTTATTTTTGTGTTAGAGTTATTTTACATTAATTTTTTATCAAAATTTTGTGAAGGCCTATAGGAAATGGATTACATTATAATATATATTACAATATACTTTGATGTCTTCTGCTATATTTTTCTCAGTCATTAATTTATCAAAGCTTATATCACAGTGTGTCTTACTATTCATTTTTTTCACAATTTTTTTCATCTTTCATTAATCAAACACTTTTTGAGACCCTACTATATGCTGTTTTCTCCTCTGTCCTTCTGTTCTTATTGCTGAACTTACATCATTTTACTTGATAGTTTCTAGACGAGCACTATGCAATAGAAATATAATGTGAAACACAAATGGGAGCCGTATTTGTAATTTAAAATTTTCCAGCAACCACATTTAAATAAGTATGAAGAAACAAGTGAAATTAATTTTAATAATACATTTTATTTAACCTGATACATTCAAAATATTAGCATTTCAACATGTAATCAATATAAAAAATTATTAATGTGGTATTTTGCATCCTTTTTTCATATTAAGTCTTTGAAATTCATCTGGTAGTTTACACTAACTGCACATCTCTAGACCATAGTTCTTACTTGAACTCTATTTGAATTTTAAGTAATTTTGATAGTTACTCTCCTAAATCAGCCTTTTTAACAGTTCGGTAAGTTTGCTGTTTTCTTACATTATAGAGAAGTGGAATCTTGCTTGAATGACCTAAGTTTGGGTGTTCTTCTTCTATAAAGTAATAGTGCAAACAGTGCAAATTTGTCTCATCAGTTTAATAGGATGGATAAAAATCCATAAACTAAATTATTATTTGCTAATCTTTCTCAGTCTTAGTATAAGATTGATAATGATTTATACCGCATATTATTCACTTCCAGGAATGGTTTTTAATATAAGGAGTTATGGAAAGTCTATAACCTAAATTTTATGTCAGTTTTATTATTTAATTGATTGAGGTTGGAGATGTGTTAAGTGTCATTTATTGCATGCTCTGGTTCAGATAGTTAATTTCAATCTAGGGGGTAATAATTCTAATTAATTTTCATAATATTATACTCTTTTTCTCTTCTAGATTTAGTTTTGAGTTCACCACCATTTATTTATTTAAGTGGGTATATTTATGTACATTTTTATGTCTATCAAAAATGATTTCAGCAGCTTTAATATTTTAAATATAGCAATAATAGAAATAAAATGCCTAAATTTGAACTCATAGCCTAAATCTATCCTCAGGAATGATCTCATGCCAATAAAATTTATTTCATGATTATTTATTTAATGGCAATAGCCATGCTAGATCACCATTTTATGATATTAAATTATCATGCCAGATTACATGAAAAAGAGACAGTGCTCTCATGGAAGATATGAATGTGACAACCATTAGAACAAAGAGAGGGGATCCTTAACCAGGATTGTAAGCAGAATATATAGAGAAAATTAAGATAATGGAGAGCAGGTAAGAGTACAGGGCTTCCCAGATTTATCTCTTGACAGTTCTTTGACACTTTTAGAATACTATTGAAGGTGATTTTTTTTTCCTCCTAACCACATAAGCTGTTTAGAAACATCTGGGATTCCTTGAGTTTTTCTTAACAATTTGAGAAGCCCTAGAATTTCTATGTATCAGAGCCTCTGTTAAAATATAGATGTAGAAATAAATACTAAGATATAATATTCACTGGTACAAGATCTTTGGTGTGATTTTTCAAATATACATACAGGTAATTTTCAAATTGAATTAAATGTCCATTCACATATTTTTCATAGCCATGATTCCTTCTGCTCTCCTTACAGCGGTAGAGTGGTAATTTAGCTCTGCTGCTCTCTTTGCATGGGCTTACAGTGTGCCATTCTTACCATTTTCCACCTGTATTGACTGCTCCTTCTCAGCATGGTTCCCTTTTCTCAGTTCCTACCCCCACACCACTTCAGTGTTGGTGAACTGCAGAATTCCCTTCCTATGTATTTACAGATTTAATAAATTTGGCCAGTCATAAAAGAGAGTATTTCAAAACAAGATAGACCAGCAAAAGGTTTTAATAACTTTTGAATGTTTTAATGTATCAGTGATTTGTGTTACTTTTCAGTAAATATGACATGATGTATTATCTTTTTAGAATTCAAACCTGATTCATCAGAAAGTGTTGCCTCCTAATGATCGACAAGGATCTCCAATATTATCATTCATCATTCTTGAACAATTTAATGCCATTCGCTTAGTACAAAGTGTTCATCAGTCTCTTGCCGCTCTCAGCAAAGTCATCAGAGGAGCCACCTTACTGAGTTCAGAAGTACAGAAATTGGCAAGTGCTTTATTAAACCAAAAGGTGAGCCAATACTATATATATATGTGGGGTTTTTTAATTAATGTGAATGGCTTTTCCATCAGGTATACATTTGTCAGGAGTCTTACAGTTTACTGTAAACCATAACTATAACAGAAAACCCAAGTTAAAGTAGCTTAAGCCATATAGGAATTAATTGGCTGTAGTAACTGAAGGATCCAAGGGTAGCTAGCATTAAATCAGCTTAGCAGGAGCTTAAAATTGTCATTAGGATCTCAGCTGGTGTTATTTATCTACCTCTCTAGTCATATTGTGTGTGTGTGTCTGTGTGTCTGTGTGTGTATGTGTACATCCTCCATATTAATTTCACTTTTGGGCGGGTCCTCTACACGTGGTGGTAACCCAGCAGTCTGAGTCTTATATCCTCTGAGTTCTAAGTCCAACAGAAAGAACACCTGTTTCTTGGCAACTCAAGCAAAAAATCTTGGGATTAGCTTTGATTCATACAGAATGGCTTGTGTTTTATGCCTAGTCCCATACTAGTTCTGTGGGCAGGGTATGCAAAGCTCTCATTGGCTAGGGCTTTAGCCAAATGCCTAACCCGGAGCTGGGAATAGATTCAGCTCCATCTGTAACACATTTACTACAAGTAAGGGAAGGATGGTTACCGAGTAGAAAAATCATAAGCAGAGGAAAAGGAAATCAACACATCTCTTGCTGAGTAATTGGACCATTGTAAATAACATTAAAATCCATGTTATTTCAGATCCATTGGATAGAAACAAAAAATATGGAGCATCTTATATAGATTCACTTTAGCTATTTGGAAAAAAAATCTTTGTAGAACTTGGCATCTGGAAAAGATTTCACTAGAGCTCTATAGGAATTTAGAAAGAAAAGTGTTTTTGTTTTTGTTTTTGTTTTTGTTTCTCCCTGCTGTTTACCCTCAATATAGAGAAATCTCTAGTAGTCAACCTAATAGTCTTCTCTGTTTGAAGATAAAAGGTAGGCTTCCTAGAACTTCCTATATCTTACTCCCTAACATAAAAAAGATTTCTCTTTTAATTCAGGCTACTATAACAAATTAACATAGAATGGATGGCTTCAACAACAAGTATTTATTTCTCACAATTCTGGAGGCTAGGAAGTCTAAAATCAAGTTGCTATTAGATCTGGTGTATGGTGAGACCTGCTTCCTGTTTTGCTGATGGCTGTCTTCTTGCTGTGTCCTCACATAGTAGAGAGGAATGAGAGAAAAAGCAAACTCTCTCCTGTCTTTTCTTATGAGGGCACTAATTCCATCATGAAACCTCCACCCTTACGACCTAATTAATTCCCCAAAGCCTCATCTCCAAATATCATCACATCAGGGTTTAGGGTTTCAACATATGAATTTTGGGGGGACAGAAACTTTCAGTCTGTTGTAATATTCTTTTTCACATATACAAAAAGATCTATTCCATCAAGCTTAGTTCCTTTTTCCTTTACCCTGGAAAAGAATCTCAGCTTTGCATTGTTTCTTTGTATATAGATTTTTATCTCTATTTATCAACTGTGATTATCAGAATACTGTAGTATTGTACTATAAACTATAACTAATTTGTTTATAATTTGAAGTAGATATATTATCAGTCATGAAAGCTTCATGACACAGTGAAGGAACCAGTGGGAAAGGGTTCTAAGAAGTTTAAAATTACATTAATTAACTCATTTAATCACCACATTAACACTACAAGAGGGTGCTGTGTTATTGCATTTTACTGTGAGAAACCTAAGGCAGAGGGACATTATATAACCTAACCAGAGTCGCACAATGAATAGTTTACAAAGTCAGGATTTGAATCTGGGCAGGTCTGATTGTCATCATAAATGTAAATGTTTTAAATTTATTTGTGAAAAGATAAATACTCATGAGAGTGTATTTCTTTAAAATCCAACTACATGCTGTATAAGGTCAAAATGTATGGTATAGACCAATTATAGTTGCATTCAGTGTAAGAGGAGAATAATGATGATGTAAGAACATGACTTGTGTAGAAGAGAACAGTAAGTCCAGTGGGACTGGTGTACAAAGAACTGTAGTAAAATTAAGGTTACATCAGATTTTGAAGTCTTTAAAGCCAAAGAGAAGAGCTTGGATTAAATGCTATAGGCAATAAGAATATTTTCATGTAGATATAATGTAATAAAATAGCTAGGAATGTGGCTTCCAGAATAGGTCTGTCTCTTTCATTCTATTCTACCACTTAGTAGCTGTGTGACCTTGGGTGGGTCACTTAAACTTCTCAATACATTACCTTTCCCATTTGTCAAATGAGAGTAATAAAGGGACCTACATCATGGGATTGTTATGAAAGTTAAATTATATCATGAGTAAAGTGCTTGACACATAGGAAGTACCCTCTAAATGTTAGTTGTTTTTGTCACTGTTACTTTAAGAGAATGTCATTGTGTGAAAAACAGCTTTTGGAGCATTCATCTGATAAAATTGTGCAAAATGAGTTTATAGAAGTAGGGATACCATGTACGTTACTATTTATTCATCTCAGTTAGAGGTCGTTAAGGCATAGAACAGGGTAGTTCAAGAGGGTTCTATGTAATATTAATGAAAAATATGGAAGGTAATGGCAAACATGGTTTCTTGTTTTGCTTCTACTGTTAACCATCTGAGTAATCTTTGGCATAAACACTTGAAAAAAATGAATAACTTAAATTATTTTTTATGATTGTAATATAACGTGGCTTACAATATTAACAGATAACAAAGAACTAAATGGGTTTTATTATATGAAACATTTTCCTTGAATAAGACCAAAGAATGGTATTTTAGAAAAGGGTCATAGAGCTTTAATTCTTTATAACATTTCTTCCTTTTCCCTTGGCCCATTAAGATCTGCTAAGTATTTCTTATTTGGTATAGCAACAGGACCTGATGACTTATTTCTTAAAAATATGTTTATGTAAGATGTATGCAATCTCATTGTTAATTTATTAAATTAAGTATTCTACATTACACTTTGATTTAAGAAATATAGCCTCTGAAATATCACTGTTTTTGAAATATTTGTATAATTTGCATGAAAGTGAATTTGTTAAAATTCTTTCAAAGGATAAAAAATGTGTTTTACAAAGCATATTTAAATTCTATCACAGATAGTGGCTTTGGAAATATTTCAGGGTGTTTGGTGAAACTCAAATGAGACTCAGCTGACTTTCACTAGGATAAGATCAGTAAAATAATTTTGACATTTACTTTCTAATTAGCTTTACCAAAAATTTGAATCTAGTACTATCGCATTTATTTCACGATAAAAGTTTAATGTTTTATTACATTTGAATGTGACAAATTTTGAATTATGTGATATGATTTAATGTAATTTAGGAAATAGTTCAGTACTTGACATTTTCTTTACTGTATCTGAAATGATTGGACTAAGAATTTTCCTAAAGAGAATTATGACTTTTATTTCCTTGACAGTTTTCTGGTGATCTACTGAAACTTTTTTTGTAAAAAGTTACAATACTCATAATTTGTTTGTTAAGGACAATGATATTGTAGAATATTGTTATTTTTCTTTTACATATTAGAACAAAGGCTTTAAATCATGATTTAAAAGATATGCAAAAATTGAAAAGATAGAACACTAAATTACCTCATCTTTCTTACTAAACAATCACTAAGGGTATTACCACTTTGTAGAAATTAATAGATTGCGTTGCTTTTTTAAAAAGCTAATGTAAGTATTTCCTGTATATTTCAGTTTATCCTAATGTACTGGGTAGTAACACTAAATGGCTTTTTAATTTTTTAAATCAGGGAGTCACTCAACAATACAGCACAATTGCTAATGGATCCTGACTCTTTAAAATAAGTTTCCAAACAACTGGTGTTTAACCTTTTTCAGATCACTGACAGTTTTTAAAATTGAAGGAAAAAGATGCACTGTCTTAAAATATATATATACACACACATAAAGCTTTATTATGTAACTTCAGGATATCTAAGAGTTAAGATCTCCTCTGCTAGACAGGTTTTTCCTTTCACTCCTTTCTCTGCCATGGTCTTCTTTATAGCAGTGTCTCTCAAAGCATGGTCTCAAGACCAAAAGCATCAGTATCACCTGAGAACTTGGTAAAATTATGAATTCTCAGGCCCCACCTCAGACTGTTGGATCGTAAACTCTAAGTGTGCTGCCCTGCAATCTGTTTTTTATCCATCCCTTGAGGTGGGTCTGATGCATGCTAAGGTTTGAGAAACGCTGTTCTGTAGTCAGAAGTCTCATAAAAATGTCAGTAGCACCTGCTTCCTCATCTTGTGCCATCCCCACTCCACTTCGTAACCACCTGTGCCACCTCCGTCATTGATTTCCCAGTCTTTGGGAGAAAAGGAAAGATGAAATGGTTCTTATAAAATGGTTGGAGACCCCATGTTTTCTTAAAGGCCCCCCATTTAAAATTTACCTACCTTTATACAAATAAGTTCTTAGAAAAGTCATACCCAAACTATTTTACCAAATGATAATTATTAATGTTGAATAATTAGCATTTTTCCATTAGAATAAAGTAGTAGCTTATGTTTTATATAACATTTTACCAGTTATGGTGCACTTCTGTAGCCCTCATCTAATTTTCTACTCTCATCACCTTCCTTTTACTTAGATTAGAAAACTGAAGCTGAAAGGAGTTGGTATTCTGGTAAAGTGTCAAAGCCCGTACTGCAGTCCTGACGTTCCTAGATCAGTATTCTTTGCACTTCATCTCTCATTGCATATTTTGTTAATTTGATCGTGAAGCTAGATGGTAGTCTTTGTAACAAGAGGCAGATATCAGCCTTATGAAGACTGAACTCCACATACTCATCTCCACAGGCCTACTAAATACTAGGATGGAATTGCCCCACCCCCTCATCTCTAGCTTTACTTACAATTAAAAATTTGATTATGTATACTTATAAATGGAAATCAGTTTCTATTGATCTATGTAAGAATAAAGGGGCCCGCAAAAACCCAGAGTCTCTAGTATCTTGGAATTCTGCTTCAGTA